TTATCATTATTTTTTAACATAACAGTAACTGTGAGCCATAAAGATAGCTAAGCAAATGTTTCTGGCTAGTTTGCAAAGTTGCAAATGAGTTGGAGATTTTTCAAAGAGGTGTGAATAATCAGAAAATGCCATTTTATATTTATTATATTAGATGTTTTGGGGGTATTGTCTTTTGATATACCTTTTGAGATTTCTGTCACTTAATTATGAGCAACTCTTTGGAAAATTAAAAATAATTTTCTTCAGTAAAAATTAATATATTTTTACAATTTGTATATGAATAATGCATGATTGCTTCATGATCTTATTATGTTTTGGAAAAAAATTGTATTTTTATTTTTTCAAAAGCTTTTTAGTAAGCACCATAATTTTTTGTACTTGATAAGTATTGTGTAAGACGTACTTCATATGTACTGTGTAAAACGTACATTTTATACTGTGTAAGACTTCATCATCTTGTGAAGAAATAGTTATTAATAATATCCATTTTCAGTAATTCATACTTTCTGTTCTTTTTTTTTTTTTTTTTGCCACATCAATGCATTTTGGTTTATTTCTATTTTCACAGCTTTAGTTCGATATTATATAGAACAGTCAAGATTAGCAACAAGGAACCTTCTTTAAATTCACTGCAGTATCCTGTAAAAGTCCATTATGGGGGAAAAATGTTACCTATATATAAGATATAAAAATTTGAAGAACAATTTATCAACAAGTTAACTACAAGCTACAAAAAGTTAAAACTTAACAAACCTACAACAGACATTTAAATTACTAATTTTTAATTAAAGTACAACCCTTTCAAGGCATTTGGGCTCTCCCTGCAGTGATCTGTATTGCTGTAAACTTTTGCCGAAGTGCTGCTCAGGATCAAAACAAAGACCTTTCCAATCTTAAAATAGTACCGCAACTGACTACATATCCTGTCTTTCACCACATAGCCTTCAAGCTGGCAACATATCGCTTAGCTTCTGCTACCTATTCTCCCTTATGTAAAATGTAAACTGAATATCTAACATTTTCAGGGTTCATTGAGCACCCTTGGTATTCTACCAGCTAATGTGCTAAAAATTTTGCCATCAAGAAATAAATGGTGTTCAACTACCAAGCTGGTTATACTTCCGAAATTCTATCTGGTCATCTACTACAACACAGTTTCCAGCCAACTAGGCACCAGTTTTCTTGAACAGTAAAATTAATTATCACACACAGACATGTATAAGAAAATACGATAGCTGCTTTAAAAATAATTGGCTACCTCAAAATTAACATTGATTTGGTGCTCTTCCCCTAAATTCATCTATTCTGTCAAATTCAAGAATCTTCTATGTTATGCAACAATGTCAAATTAATCAATTACAGACTAGTTCTACTTATACCTCAGACTTAGTATAAATACCGCTGGTGAGTTAATTGCGTCATTCTTCCTTTCCCTAATTGATGCTCTGTCGACATTGTGTAGCTTTAACTTTGCTTAACTGCCTGTATCATTCCTTTTTACAAAGACAATGTGCATAGAAATTTATCATACTTCATTATGATTGAATCATAAAAACATATCGGATTTTAGTATAATTGGAGAAATATCTACTGAGATGATTTTATATGCGTGGAAATAAAGATGGTCATTAGCTGAACTTGGTCCGTTTTGCCCCTCTGCTGTCACGACTAAGCCTAAAAAATATTACATGTATATGCATGTGCATATATCTGTATGTGTATATATGGTTATATATAGTATCACAAGTTTTTATTTAAAAAAATTATCCCGATCTTATTTCTGCGGAATATGATGCTGAAAATGAATCGGTTACAGACAAAAATTAAGAAATTAAGAACCAAATTCACAAGGACCCAAAAGCAATGGAATTCAAAACCTGTAAAATTTCCAAATTCCTTATAAATATTTAAAAAATCAACCCAAAGTCAGAAGAATTAAAGTAATGTGAAATACAGTTACTATAAAAAAATACATAAGAAGAGGAATGCAGTTGAATCTGATTCAGTGTTATCAAGAGAAAGTAGATCAGACATAGTTGAACCTTTTCATTGGAAGACCACTGCATTTCTGTTTTAAATCATAACTTACCAAGTTGACACAGAGGCAATCTGTTAAAGAAATATACAAAATGCATCTGTGTTTAAAAACTTCTAGTGTCAAATAAAGTGAAAGAAATTAATTAGGCTTTTTTATTATATTTAAGATTGAAATTAAAATGTAGTAATACAAAAAGCACTTAGAAATTAACAGAAAACATGGAAATCAGAACTACTCAGTTTGAAACAAAAACCAGAAGAATGAGATTCAAAAATAGATACTAAGGGATGCTAGTTTGACTTCATTAGCGATTGCAAGTTAGGTATCTCCTAAATGGTGAATTAAAAGCTTGTAAGAAATTCTCAAGAATTTTGATTTGGAATGAAAGAAAGTAAAGAAAGAAGAAGGAAGAAAAGAAACAAATGTTAGAAAAGAATAAAGTCATTAAAACATCCTTCATGATGATTTTGTATAGAGTAGGCCACTCTGTTAATAAACATAAAGTCAAGAAAAATTGTACTGTAATACAAATACACACAAAGAAAAACTATAAAAGTACTTAAAACATCCTTCTTTATCTTTCTGTGTGTGAGCTTAATTTTATAGGTTATAAACTATTCCCAGCTTTTTTTAAAGACTGTTAATGAAATTAATTGGAATTTCATTTTCTTGTAAGAACTTTTAGCAAGAATAATAATTTCTTCCTGTAGTTGTTCAAGTTCTGTGCAAACTTTTTAAATTCTGTTAGTTTGATATTATAATTAAATAATTTAGAATGGTTTGTTAGCTAATTTTGGATGAACAGAAATGCAGTGGTCTTTCAAGGAAAGGGGGCTCAATTGAGTCTGATCTACTTCCTCTTGATAACATTAATCAGATTTAATTGCATTCCTCTTCCTGTGTAATATTTTTTTTTTTTAAATAGTTACTGTATTTCACATTTCTTCAATTCTTCTGACTTGATAATTTTTTACATATTTATAAGAAATTTGAAAGTTTACTGGTTTTGAATTTCATTGTGTTTGGGTCTTTTGTCGATTTTCCCCCTAAATTTCTTACTTTTTGTGCACACATTTTTCTTTTTATGAATAAATTTTCATTAGTTCAAATTTGTGTCTATCAATTTTAACATTAAAATGATACAACAAGGAACTTGCTTATATTTCTCTTAGGTAATTATTCCAGTTACCTATTGTGTTGTGATTCATTTGAAGTAAACTTTGATTTATGAAATTCTCTAAACTTTAATTCTTGACACCATAATGAACCATTGGGTAGTAACAAAAGGGATGTGTGATGCAACAAACCATGTTTATGTTCAGACACCTTTTTCTTTTTGATATGAGTGAAGACAGTGCCACTTTGGTTTTAGCCTGATGCCAAAAAAAGTATGAAATGGAATGGCTGTAAGGGAAAAGAGTCATCTTTTTATTTATGACTGGCATGCTAATCAGTATCATAATTACTGTTGCAACTTTTAAATGTAATATTAGTTTATACAATTCAAAATTGAAGTTGGTGTTACTTTATAATCTTATCCTGTATTACCTTTTACTTTTTGTGCATAAAACTGTGCAACAACTTGCATACATGCTTAACTCAGTTGTGCTATTGCAATAGATGCACATTGCGATGGACACCAATGATGATTTGCATCATAATTAGAAAGCTATCGTACTGTTTGTTATGTGTGGTGAACAATATGTGCCTGTGTAATTACAGATTACAATTAATATCATAAAGTATTTCTATTTCACGTGAATTTTCTCTGTATTACCTTTCATTTTATTTCCTTGTATCACAACCTTCATTTTACAGGCTGGTCATAAAAAGAACTTTCTCAGTATATGAATCTCTAGCGGCCTCAATCAATCACTATGAAATTTTATATATCGTTATTTGAATTTTACATTGTAAAGATTTAAAAGAATAGAACTCTCACAGTTCCAGTTACAGTGAAAAATTTTCAAATTTTCAAATGGCAACACCCACGTTTTTTTCTCCTCAAATTGATCAGTGCATTGAATAACTGTAAATGGCATTAAAATGATACAGATATGATGAAAATTGCTGGTAGAAAACATCAGCAAAAAGCTTTGCAAAGTACCTAGTGACAGCACAAGAGAGGAGAGGGAAATGTTTGAATTTTTGATTTTGCTTTATGATATTGTTACGGATTTGATATTTAAATAGCTAATATTAGTTGAATTATAAATTAAATTGTTTTATTCCCCATGCAGTGCAGCGCGTGGCGATTATTAAAGGAAAGCCAAGCCGGAAAAATTAAAAATACAAGAGACGTGCATTTAACATTTAATAAATAAATATCTCTTTTTGATTTTGAGAAAGTGATAGAAAGTTCTCATGCATTTAAAAAGCTTATATAAGCAGCATGAAAACCTCTCAGTTAGTAGTTAGTTTGTTGTTGTTTTAAGAGTTTGTTTAGTAAACTGCTCTTGTTGATTGTTGCGAATTTGCAGATTAACTTTCTTTAGCTGTTTTGAATTAAGTTCTCTTGAACGTTTGAGTAGTTAAAAGATAACTACTGTGAGATATTGTAATACTGCTTGAATATCTGAGGAAATTTAAACATTCTTGTTGTGATAATAATAAATTTTGTTAATTTTTCATCGGACTTGTGTGTTCATTTCATAACAAACCTGTATGCATGCAGCAATATATTTTAACTAGGCCAAGTAATAAAAATCTTCAAAAGCTATAACTTTTTCACTCTTAACCAGATATAAATTTCTTGTTCAATATCTGACTCCTGGATAATATATTAAATATTATAATTAAAGCTATTATAATATTATTCCATAATTTGTTCTAAATTTTGAACTAAATATTTAATATGACTGAATTATTATGAAAAGTTGCAGCTTTAAACTTTTTTGGCTTGTAGCCTATTTTAATTAGATAAAAGTACTTAAATTTTGCAACTTTTATACTCTGTGTTTAGGTATGAGTTTGATAGAATGTGGTGAAGCCCTAAAGCAAATGGCAGAAGTGAAGTATGCATTAGAAGATAATGTGAAACAAAACTTCTTAGAGCCCTTGCATCACCTACAAACAAAAGATTTAAAAGATGTCATGGTACTTTTTTTTCTTAATTTTTATAGATTATAGTGAAATAAATCTTTTGGGAACAATACCTTTTATTAATGTGTGCTCTTTAAAGTCTTGCACTGTTCTATATTTATTGATTTTTCAAGACATGATTAGTATCATCTGATAAGAATTCATTTGAATTTTGCTTGTTTTATTTATGCCAAAATTGAAAGTAATATTAATTCGTGCAATATTGAAAAGCAGTATTAATTAATTAATATGTTCAACATTCATGACTTAATAAAAGATAAAAGCCATTATTTAGAAAGATTAACAGTGATAAGCTCTGACAGTTCTTGATATATTTGTTTTATGGTCATAGATAAATTTAATCTTTTACCCACAATAAAAGTTATTTTATTATTATAGGGAAAAACAGTAACCATTTTAATTATATTTAATCAAGAATATTTTAAGGATTTATTTATTCATGTATAATCTTTCATGTATATTTAACCTTCTGAAAATTACTGAAATGTTTGTTTATTTGTTGTATCCTAAAAGTGCTGTCTGTGTGCAGTAGTAGCTGAAAGTGCCAGCTGTTCTATTTCCTAAATCTAAAGGCATTAAAAAGAGAGGCATTAAAAAGGCATTAAAGGCATTAAAAAGAGAGAAATTTCTAAGGCATTAAAAAGAGATGATTTAAATCTGAGTGTGGTTCTTAAATTAATTTTTTTTTACTGAATTGCATCATATATATGAAAATTGATTTAAAAAAAAAAAAAAAAAAAAAAAAAAAAAAAAAAAACTCTTTTGAAGGGAGAAAATTTGCTATCTTAAAAAACTTTTAGTTTCTTTGCCATTGGCATTGCATTTTTGGACTATTACCTCCCATCTAATGTACACAAATTGAGTGGAGGGAAAACAGTATTTTCCACTTTTTGTTTTTCATATAGAAATAATAGGTTTCAGTTTATTTTTATACTACTACATCCTCATCTTGCATAATGAGTAGTAGTTTGCAGTTTGAACAAAAGTAAGATATAGCAGCAAAATAATGATTTGCTTACTTTCTTGTAATGTTTCTTCTGTTGCCTCATTTTTTTACTGAATTTGAAATGCATAATCAGGATTAATAGAGTGTCTTAGCATAATTTATATAAACAACCAAAATGCATAATCATTAATATTGAATTATGTGCTGTTAAACATTCAGTCTACCTCGTTGAGTTATATGTAAATATTTTGACAATTTGGGTTCTTAATGTCTTGCTGTATTTATATATTTTATTTATATAAAAATATTTAATATATAATTCTATTCCACTATGCCTTTGTAAGCATCACCGGAAGAAACTTCAAGGAAGAAGACTGGATTATGATTGCAAGAAAAGAAGGCAGGCAAAAAGTAATAATGCTAAGCTTTTTATTTTAACAAAAAATCCCTCTTTATTCCTGTATTTCTGGGAATGTTATATCATTCTAATATCTGTATGATCTCCTTCATCCTTCTGTATTCCTGATTTATGAATAATTGTTTGAGCAGTCATTGTAGCTAAAACACTAACTTATTGTAGTAGACCCCAAACTTTTGCAAACTAATTTGTTTTTTTAACAATAATCACAAACTGAACTTTACTGGCCAGTTTATAATAACTGATCACATGGTATTATCAGATCCATACTTTAATAAGCAAAATCTTTCTAATACAGAATCTTCTGTTTACTTATTTATTTTAAAGAAAAGAAAATCTGAAAGGAATCAAATTTTAACGTAGCACCAAAGGGTTTGTAAAGTTTCTTTTATGCTCTTGTTGAGGTTACAGTTTATCATTCTGCTCTTCTGCTCTTGGACTCACTCTTGGAATTTATTATTATTATTATTATTATTATTATTATTATTTGATTTTTAATTTTATTATTAAGCATGACTTTTTTTTTTTCTTTCAAATATTAAACAGAACTCTTCTTGCACTTATGCTGCATAAAATTCAGCAATAAAAATCACAACATTTTATAATTCCTGATAGTGTTAAATGTTGCCTTTACATTTTTCTATTTTTTCCAGTCTTTTCTCAGTTTATCATGTCATTGTTTAGTTTCCTTAACAAGATGACCTAACTTTTTTTTATCTTAACTTTATAATGAAGTATTTTATTCATACATACAGTACATAAAATTCAATTGCAAAATCATTAAAATTTTAAAAGCAGCCTATGTGTAGAATTCTCAGTGCAGTGTTGAGTGTTGCCATTAATGTTTTCAGTTTTTTCTCGGCTTACCATATCAGTGTTCGGTTTTGTTAGTAAGAGACATGCACAACTTTTTTTTTTTTTTATATATATATATATATCTTTTTATTGTTAATGTTTTTGCCTTTTAAACCTCATTTTACTAAATGTCCCTTTTTTCACACTTACACAGCATAAAAATTAGAGTAAAATCACAAAATGTTTAAAAACAGCATATTTTTAGAATATAATACAAAGTGTTGCCATATATTTCTTTTAAATATTCAGTATATTATTTCTTTAAAAAATAATACAGAGTAATAACATTGGGTGGAAACATTCATTTGTTTGTATTGTCATATTTTTTAATATTTGCCATATTATTTATTAAAAAATAACTTATAATAATGGCATTTGGTGACAGCATCCTTTTATTTGAAAGTGATAGGCCAAAACAGTGAGGATCAGTGCTATATCAAGGATCCAGTTCTAATAATCTGATATCAACTAACTTTTAGCTTGGCAATGTACAGTTTGTGTATTGCTTTGCTTGGCTGTTGCTGTGATGACTTGAAAATTTTGTCATAATTTGTAGCTTGTAAATGTTTGTTTTTTTTTCTTCTTTCTAAAATTATTGTTTTAAAAATACAATGCTATTTTATCATTAATATAGCTTTGTTTTTCATATTGCTTCTTCTGTGTCTTTAATATTGCCTGTGAATAGTTGAGTGAATAAGAGCCCTGAATGCTGATAAATTGTTCATCCTTTTGTCCCTGAAGAATGGGCTCATTGTATCACTGAGTCATTTTCCACTATCTGTCTTTCACAAGGACATTCATATTTGTCCACTAAAGTGGAAATGATGAGTCTCACCAACATAAAGTTTTTGTGATAAGTTAAACTTTGCTTGACATCACCACCACGCTTTTAATTGTTTAAAACCATATAAATTTCTTCTAATCAAATCTGAAATATTTTAGTTTTATATTGTAATAACTCTGCACAGAATTTGTTGTAAACATTTTTTGTAGTAAACATTTTCACAACAAATTACCAAAGCACAGAGTAGAATAATTTCTCTTACCTTGTATCCAGTCCAACGTCAATTAGTAGTGAAAAAGGTAATCCAAAAAGAGGTTATAGATGAAAATTACAATGTTACAAACCATTTATTTTTACATAATAATAGATTAAGATTCATTAGTTTTCCTAATATACACTCATGTCCATAAATTAAGGATAATTGAGTCACGCGGAAATCGAACTCTAAAATAAATATATCACCTGTAAAATCATTACACACATCTTCAAGGATCATATGCAAATTTCAGGAAGTAACCAGATGACACCGATGGTACGTCACAATGACGAGAGTGTAAGAGAGTGATATATAAGAAATGCAGGCAAAGAAGCAAAATTGTTCGCAGGCGCTTTATAAGCATTTCAGTGTAATAACTGAATAGTTATATCACAAAGGATGCATTTGGATGATTTTTTACGTGGTAGAATTATCAGCCATCTGGAATGTGGTCGTACCCAACTGGAAGTATCGGACGAACTTGGAATTGCCCACAATGTCATCTCCAGGCTTTGGCAACAATTCCAAGATGATGGTAATGTGAGTAGAAGTTACAGCACAGGTTGCCCGAGAGTTACAAGGCCGAATTAGGACCGGTATTTGGCAGTTACTGCCAAAAGAAATTTAAAAACAATTTCAAGGCAGACCGTGTACAGACGCTTAGGGCAGATTGATCTATGTGCTCGTAGACCTGTCAGATGCGTTTCACTTACTGCAACTCACTGTCGCCTGCGGTTAGCCTGGAGTAGAGAGCATGCATTGTGGACATTGCAACAGTGGGCTTGTGTGATGTTTTCCAACGAGTCCAGGTTTAGCTTGCAGTCTGATTCTCGCCGGACTTTCTTATGGAGAGCTCCAGGTGCCTGTTACCACCAAGAAAACATCACTGAACGACACCGTTACGGTGATGCAGGAGTGCTCGTTTGTGGGCTGGAATTGTTCTGGGTTTCAGAACTGACCTGCATGTTCAAATTGGAACCATGACAATCCAAATCTATCGGGACGTCATTCTGAAACAACATGTATGTTTGTTTCGGGGCGCCATGGGTGCACAATTTGTGTTTATGGATGACAACGCCCATCCTCACCGTGCAAACATCGTAAGCGAATGCTTTCAATCGGAGGATATCTCCCTATGGATTGGCCAGCATTCTCACCAGACTTTAATCCAGTAGAGCACATGTGGGACATACTTGGCCGACGAGTTGCAGCTCGTCAATTTGATACTCAGCATGCCTAGGCATTGTACGGACTGTATTGCATCGTCTGGGAGACATACAATGTATTAACCTTTTCCCATGGGCTATAGGGTCCAATTTCGAATGTATTTTGGCCATTTAGTCTATTTTAACTGAAAGGAACAGAAAAACAAATCAAAAGGGTATTGCACTTCCTAATCCATATTAAGGAGTAAATTTTAAATCTCCATAGTTAACTGAAATTTCCTGAGACACATTTAAAGTAGTGAACGCGCGGGACATATATGTCCCAGCCCCCGGGAAAAGGTTAACAATCATACCAACCATGTAATATTGGGGTTTTTTTTTTTTTTTTGTAATTTGCTCCAGGGAGAAAAAATCGCTAATTTTTTTAATAATATCGAACATATAGCATCTTTTTTGCTCTTTGCCATTTGTTTAATAAATAAGCTTTACAAATAAGTCAAATTTGTTTTGCTTCTAACTCTTCCTTTGCCTGAGTTTGCATTATCCTTAATTTATGGACATGAGTGTATATCAAGAGAGAGTTATATCTCTTCAGGCAGAAAAGAAAGAAGTGAAAAAAGCAAGTTGCACAATTAACTCCTCTGAAGGGTGCCCAGATTACCCTTCAGTCATAATTATTGTGCTATTAATTTATTGTGCTATTGGCGACTGTTCATCACCAATTTGAAAGCAAACAGAATTATCCTAAATTAAATTGTTTACATGCACGTGCTTTGTGGGCTCTTAGAAATGTGCCTTTCAACGTCCAGTCCCGCTTAGCGAAAACATACGTGATAGGGGTTTAAGGATAAATTGTTTCTTTTTTGCTAATGAAGAGCTCATAAACAACTTTTCTATTTGGAGATGTGAATTCTTTTATTAAACTGCTCTAAATTTGGTGATTTATCAACATTTTGGAGATTTTGAAAATTAATTTTGTATGAAAATTTTAATTCGAAGATTTGTGAATTTTTCGACTATTTTTTAAAGCATTATAACATTGATAAATTTAATTAATATAACAATAATACATTAAAACTATGTTAAGAAGTAATATTGAAATAACATATTTTTATTTTTCCCTGTTGTGTTATAAAATGACATTACTTACTATTTTGCCAACTTACAGTATATTAAATCTGAAAAATAAATAAGATAATTAATGCTATAAAGCACAATTTTTGAACATTTAGCAAAAGCAAAATAGCTATTGTAACTATTTTAAAATGTCTTCTTTTATATTTTTGAAAAGGTAAGAATGTTTCCCTGTGCCTTAAAATATTCAGAATTCTCATAATATGTATCAGTTTTCTCTATGAAATTAATTTTACACTTTTCTTCCTTGAATTTTTTTTCAATAAATTTCTGCCTTTATGCTATTACAGAATTGGTTGAGATAATTTTTCTTTTGGAATTTAGACATTGCACCTCGGAAAGTTTAGAAAGATTTGAAGGCAGGATTTATAGACCTATGATTCCAGAAAGGGAGAACAAATAAAAAATGTCTTCATGGTATTAACACGTAATGGATTAATTTTACTTAAGTTTGAGGCCCTCCAGTGGCTGAGTGATAAAGTTACTGAACATTGATAGTTCAGTCTGAGGTTCGAATCCCACGAATTGGCTGGCTGCATGGGCATTTTCATGGTTTATCCCATGTGTAACATGTATACGAACCATTTTCCTTTATAAAGTCCTCCACAAAGGCATCCCTTCCTAGGTAGATAGCCCTCAAGAATTTGCTGTAATCACACAAATAAAACAAAACCAACCTGATGTTTGTGTTGGAATTTCTTACATTTTAGAGAATTTTTGGAAGAACAGTAAAAGAATAATTAATTGATTTTTTTACTTTTGATCCTAGAAGTCTTTCTCTTTAACATGTTAATCTTC